AGGCAGAGTTTGCAGTGAGCCAAGATCGCACCACTGCACTCCAGCCTGAACAACACAGTAAGACTCCATCTCAAAAAAAAAAAAAAAAAAGATATATATATGGCTGAAAAATGTTGGCCAAACATGGTGGCTCATACCTGTAATCCAACACTTTGGAAGGCTGAGGTGGACTAATCAGTTGAGGTCAGGAGTCTGAGAGCAGTCTGGCCAACATGGTAAAACCCGGTCTCTACTAAAAACACAAAAATTAGCTGGGCATGGTGGCACCCGCCTGTAGTCTCAGCTACTCTATTTACGAGGCTCAGGCAGGAGAAGGCTGAGGCAGGAGAAGTGCTTGAACCCAAGAGGCAGAGGTTGCAGTGAGCTGAGATTGCACCACTGCACTCCAACCTGGGCAACAGAGCAAGACTGCATCTCAAAAGTAAATAAAAATAAGTAAAAATAAAAAATACAGCCAGGTGTGGTAGCTCATACCTGTAATCCCAGCACTTTGGAAGGCCAAGGCAGGCAGATCACCTGAGATTGGGAGTTTGAGATCACCCTGGCCAACAGGGTGAAACCCCATCTCTACTAAAAATAAAAAATTAGCTGGGTGTGGTGGCACCCAGCCACTCGGGAGACTGAGGCAGGAGAATCACTTGAACCTATGAGGTCGAGGTTGCAGTGAGCAGAGACTGCACCACTGCACTCCAGCCTAGGCAACAAAGTGAGACTCCATCTTAAAAAAATATATACAAAACTCTAAAGATCATCTGAGCCTTTCATAATCTTCTTGCTGGTTGAGGGTTGCCTTGATGTTGAGGGCCTTGCTCTGGATTACACTTTGACTTAGGGGAATGTTGTGGTTGATCTATTCAGATCACCAAAACTTCCTCCATGTCAGAAATAAGGCTGTTTCACTTTTTTTTTTTTTTACGCAATGGAGTCTTGCTCTGTTGCCCAGGCTGGAGTGTAGTGGCTCAAGTTCAGTTAACTGCAATCTCCACCTCCCGGGTTCAAGCGATTCTCCTGACTCACACCCAGAGCAACTGGGATTACATGGCCTACCACCAAGCCCAGCTGATTTTTGTATTTTTAACAGAGAGTGTTTCACCATGTTGGTTATGCTGGTCTCGAACCCCTGACTTCAAGTGATCCACCCACCTCAGCCTCCCAAAGTGCTCAGATTATAGGCATGAGCCACCCTACCTGGACTTTTTTCTTTTTTGAGACAGAGTCTTGCTCTGTTGCCAAGGCTGGAGTGCAATGGCACAATCTCAGCTCACTGCAACCTTTGTTTCCTGGGTTCAAGTGATTCTCATGCCACAGCTTCCCAAGTAGGTGAGAATACAGGCACACCATGGTGCCTGGCTAATTTCTGTATTTTAAATAAAGACAGGGTTTCACCATGTTGGCCAGGCTGGTCTCGAACTCCTGGCCTCAACTGATTGGCCACCTCAGTCTTTCAAAGTGCTGGGATTACAGGCATGAGCCACCGTTCCCGGCCACCACAAAACTTTAATTTGTTAAAAAAGAAATAAAGCGAAGCACCATAAGATGGGCCGGACGCAGTGGCTCATGCCTGTAATCCTAGCACTTGGGGAGGCTGAGGTGGGCAGATCACAAGGTCAGGAATTTGAGACCAGCCTGGCCAGCACAGTGAAACCCCATCTCTACTAAAAAAAAAAAACAAAAATTAGCTGGTCACGATGGCTTGCCTGTAGTTCCAGCTACTCAGGAGGCTGAGGCAGGAGAATCGCTTGAACCCGGGAGGTGGAGGTTGCAGTGAGCCAAGATAACGCCACTGCACTCCAGCCTGGGCAACAGAGCAAGACTCTGACTCAAAAAAAAAAAAAGAGATGTATTTCAATATATAAATGAGGCACAACTACCACTGAAATAACATAGCCAGACATTTGCAAGTGTAGTTCTGAACAAATCAATTTAGCTACATTCCAGGAAAATTTAGGGTACACTTACAGTAATCGTTACACTGCTCACAAAGATTTCCAGTTCTGCTTTTTCTAGACAGAAGTAGGTCTAAACTTCCCAACTCCCTAGAAATTAAACGTGGCCATGTGATTTGTCATTCAAGGCTAGTGCAGGTAATGTTTATGCAAAACTCCGAACAGGGCCTGAGAGACTACTATGAGTTGGGGCAGAGTACTCACCCCATCTACATTGACATGTAGCACAATGGGAAATGAACTTTTAGGTTAAGCCATTGAGATTTGAGGGTTACTTGTTACTGAAGGTTACTTGTAACCTTGCCTGATAAATATTGAAACTGTTCTGTGCAAAAAGAGTTTATGTTTTTCTGCAAAATGAAATTCAGTTCCAGGCTCTGATCATTATAAACAAGCTTTTCACCTACATAAATGTCCAGCAGCATTGGAAAGTCAGGAAGGATTCAGGACAATTCTGTTATTCTAGACGATTTTCATCCCTGTCTACCCACACCCAGTAAACACTAGAAGGATGCCCTCAATCTTTATACAACTCAAACACCAACTCCACAAATTCCCAAAACACTCCCATATGAACTGGCCTTTAGGGACCAGACATATCACAAAAACTAGGGCTGTGAGCTGGACCAAAACAGGTCCAGGGAGCAGCTGGGCTTCTAAAGAGGCAACACAGTTCACTCCCAATTGTTTGGTGCCATCAGGGAATATACCATGAATTACCAAATCTTCTAGTGATTCCAGGGAAAGCTAAAATGCAGATTCTATGTGAAATCGTTTGATTTCTCAATATTGGCAACAACTTTTAAAGATTTTTAAATATTCTGGGAACCAAACAAAACAGTTCTGCTGGTTTGGTGTGGCTCATGTTGCCTCACTTTGCAAAGTGTTAAGTGCTAGTGAACTTTTTGTGTTTTTTTGAGACAGGGTCCCACTCTGTCGCCCAGGCTGGAGTACAGTGGCCATGACCTCCACTCACCATAGGCTCGACCTCCCGGGCTCAAGCAAACCTTCCACCCTCAGCCCCACAAGGAGCTGGGAGTACAGCTGCCCTGCCACCGGAGCCAGCTAATTATTATTATTATTGGTATTTTAGTAGATATGGGGTTTCACTATGTTGGCCAAGCTGGTCTGAACTCTTGGTGTCAAGTGATCCACCTTCCTCAGCCTTCCAAAGTGCTGAGATTAAAGGTGTGCGCTACCCCGCACAATCGGAAAAAAAAAGTTGTTTTTTGAGACAGTCTCTGTTGCCAGGTAGGAGTGCAATAGCGTGATCTTGGCTCACTGCAACCTCCGCCTTCCAGGTTCAAGCGTTTCTCCTGCCTTAGCCTCCCCAGTAGCTGGGGCTACAGGCACGCACCACCATGCCCAGCTAATTTTTGTATTTTTAGTAGAGACAGGGTTTCACCATGTTGGCCAGGATGGTCTCGTGTGGGGATTGCTTCCGTGTGAGGCCCCTAGGAAATGGGCCTCGACATACGGTGAGCTTGAGCCCGGACACAGATCCCTGGTTGGGGAAGTCGAGCTGAGGGAAAGCAGGAACTGAGAGAGGGACTACGTTATTCAAAATAATTAACAGACATTACTTTATGGATATGAGGACATGGGAAGCATTGTGTCTACTTTCGGCTTCTTATGGTTTATTGCTTGATTGTGTCCATTTTGGACCCTTGTTACCTTCATTGTAAAATATTAACTTAAGTATTTACACTTGGTAACTTACTTATCATAACTTACTGGGTGTAACTGTAACTTACTTACCATAACTTACTGGGCTTGACTGTAACTTACTTACCTTGACCTATTGGGTGTAACCTACTTACTGGGCGTAACCTACTTACTGGACTTAACTTACTTACTGGGCGTAACTTAGTGGGTGTAACTTGCTTACTGTAACTTAAGTACATTGATCTAGCATAAACAACTTTGACTTCAGAAAAGTATATAATGAAACGTATTGCAAAAATAAAATTGCTGCTTGGACATAGCCTAAGCAAGCCCTCCAGACCCCGCTTTTCTCTTTTCTTTCCCTTCCGCGCACTCTCTCCCTCAGGTTGAACAAGACATTTAGTTGGCGGTCTCGCGGACTCCCGCAGGTCGGCAGCCCCTAGGCAGACATGCCGGACTCCAACAGTCTCAATCTCTCGAGCTCATGATCTGCCTGCCTCGGCGTCCCAAGGTATTAGAATTACAGGCGTGAGCCACCGCGCCTGGTCAAAATTTTACTCTGCATTTAGTCAAATTCTCTTCTTTTCCAAGTGAAGAAACAGATTGAATAACTCTGTCCAAGTGTATAGTGACTTACACAGGCCACATAGTTGTATACTGTAGTTAGTGACAATCGCTAACATCTGCCATGTGGTCCTTACTGCAAATCTCGTTCGTGTGTGTTGCGGGGGAAGAGAGAAAAAGAGGGGGGAGGGGGAGAGGGAGACAGAGACAGAGAGGCAGACAGACAGACAGACACACACACATACACACACGAAGTTTCACTCTTGTTGCCCAGCCTTGAGTGCAATGGCCAGATGTTGGCTTACCGCAACCTCCGCCTCCCAGGTTCAAGCGATTTTGGGAGCCTGCCTCAGCCTCCTAAAGTGCTGGGATTACAGGGATGAGCCACCGTGCCCGGTTGCAAATCTTATTTAATAATGAGGTCAGCTTTTTGTTATCCCACTTAACTAATTAATAGGAGAAGCCAGCTCTGATATCCAGTGCACTATGGTGCACTCTTTCCTGCCAAGCCGTCGTAGTCATTCGATTAAAAAAAGAAATTCCTGCTTTCCTGCCTCGCCTGTGCGTTTCCTTAGTCGCCCTTTCAGGGCCTGTTCTCATGAGTGCCGCAGAAAAACGACGAAGTGAAAATACAGAACATAAAATGAAAATTTAAAAGAGGAAATGGTGTCACAAGGAAAACGAAGGCCAGGGGACCCCGTGAAGCGCCAGGCAGGGTGCACAACGGTCCTGGGAGAAAGTTCAAGAAGAACTTCCCGCGAACAGGTCCCGCCGGCGGCCAGGAATGCATGCACTTCTTACGTTATGATTTGGACTTTACCGAACCTCTTGAAGCGGAAGGAAGGCTTGGCAGTGAGGAAGTCGAATCCGGCAAACCAAAGAGAAAGGCGGTGCCCAGCCGCGCCCGCTCGCCCGCTGGGTCACGTGACACGGCCAAGATGGCCGACCGGGTAAGAGGCTGCCATGTGAGTTTGGAGCCGGAGCCCGGGCCGCAGCCGGCGCCCGGGTCAGAGCTCGAGCCGGAAGAAGAGTTCGAAGTTGTGGATCGAAGCCAGCTGCCTTGCCCCGGCGACCTGCCTAACGCATCGAGGCGGCGGGAGGCGGAGAGCTGGTCCGCGCCCATCCTGACCCTGGCCCGCAGGGCCACGGGGAACCTCTCGGCGGGCTGCGGGAGCGCGCTGCGCGCGGCCACGGGGCTGGGCGGCGGGGACGACGGGGACGGCGCGGCGCGCGCAGGTAGGCTTGGGCCAGGTCTGTCCCGCGGACCCGCGTGTCCCCGCTGGCCGCCGGCGCGGGCGCGGTGGGGACCAGGCTTGGAGGGCACGGCCTGCCCGGCAGGTTACGGGAGCTGTTGGTCGGCGGGCGGCGCCTGGCTGTGCGTGGGTCTTTACCCTGGCGGTTAAGCCGAGACCGCACCCCTGCAGCCCCGCGTACCTGAGCGCGCTCCCGCACCCGCGCTTCTATACTCACCCACTAATTAGATGAAGGACCTGTGCGCGTGCAGGCTCCGGGACTCTGTAGTAACTCCACACACGAAACGGAGCTGGCACTCTTCTGCTTTTCAACCACTCGGTGCGGTGAGGGTGTGGGCCCTGTGCGCAGCGGACCCAGCAGTGCCTCGGTTCACCAGCCGTACCTCCGCTCACCTCTGGCTGTGAGATGGGGATTTTAAAGTCACCCGATGATCTCTTAAAGACGTTTTCAGCCCCTGTAATGAATAGAGTGCCAGCATATCAGTGACAGTAAGATTTTGATTTAGCCCTCTAACTCCAGGCATCCAGAGCTGTGATGTCCAATACAGCAGCACGTGTATGTTTTGTTTGTTTTGTTATTGTTGGGTTTTTGTGTTTTTTTTGTTTGTTTTCGAGACAGAGTCTCGATCTGTCAGCCAGGCTGGAGTGCAGTGGCGCGGTCTCGGCTCACTACAACTTCTGCCTCCCGGGTTCAAGCGGTCTCTGCATCAGCCTCCCAAGTAGCTGGGATTACAGGTGCCCACTACCACGCCCGGCTAATTTTTTTGTGTTTTTAGTGGAGACGGGGTTTCACCACCTTGGCCAGACTGGTCTTGAACTTCTAACCGTGATCCATCCACCTCAGCCTCCCAAAGTGCTGGGATTACAGGCGTGAGCCACTGTGCCCGGCCAGCAGCACACTTAGTTTAAATGTAAGATTAAAATTCTATTGAAAAATTACATCTCTCAATTTTTTTTTCCCGAGGTGGAGTTTCACTCTTGTTGCCCAGGCTGGAGTACAATGTTGGGATCTCGACCAATTCTCCTGCCTCAGGCTCCAGAGTAGCTGGGATTAGAGGCATGCGTCACCATGCCCAGGTAATTTTTTTTTGGAGACAGAATCTCATTCTGTCACACAGACGAGAGTGCAGTGGCTTGATCTCAGCTCCCTGCAACCTCAGCCTCCTGGGTTCAAGCAGTTCTCCTGCGTCAGCCTCCTGAGTAGCTGGGACTACAGACATGCCCACAGTCGGCTAATTTTTCTATTTTTAGTAGAGATGGGGTTTCACCATCTTGCCCAGGCTGGTCTTGTACTCCTGACCTTAGGTGATCTGCCTGCCTCGGCCTCCCAAAGTGCTGGGATTACAGGCTTGAGCCACTGCACCTGGCCGTCGCCCGGCTACACTTGTATCTTTAGTAGAGACAGGTTTCTCCATGTTAGGCTGGTCTCGAACTCCCGACCTTAGGCCACCCCCCCCCCCCACCCCCACCTTGGCATCCCAAAGTGCTGGGATTACAGGTGTGAGCCACCATGCCTGGCCGAATTGAATACTTTTAAATTGGAATAAAAATTGAGTGCCTGGATTACAGCGGCCACATTTTAAGTACTCGGTGGCCTTTGTCTGGCCAGTGGCTACTGATATGGGATAGTGCAGCATAGAAAATTTCCAGCTTCGTAGAAAATGCTGGGACAGAGCCAAGGAAAGGCTGTGGTGCCTTCCAAGGAGCATCATAGCACACCCTTGAGGTTTCTGATTCCTCCTCATCCACTGGTACTTTAGCTGATTACTTCAGGTAGTGATTGTGAGATTTTCAGTGGTTAAGAATGATTAATTAATAAAGTTAAAAGGCTGACTCGTTTTGAGATCCTGGCAGTGGAAAATAGCATTAGAGGGTGATGAGATTCTGTGCAGCCCGGGAATCAGGTTCCCACTAGCTTGACACCTATTCCCAAGACTTTTTCACACATCAGTGGATGCTGGATTGCATACTCATTGACAGTCAGTACTGAAAGTCAGGCATGACATCTTCTGGGGGCTCTTAGATTTTCATGGCAGGAGTAAGCAAATAATAAATGTTAGTTCTTCCCTGATAAGTAAAATTTCCTTCCTTTAATGCAGAATCAAGGAAGAAAATTAAAAAGATAAAATGAAATGTGTCTGTACGTAGCACAGAATAATATAAGTATTTGCTGAAAAAAATGCATATTTGAAAAATACCTGTTTTCCATCTATGGAAGTGATACAAACAACAGCCACCACTTATATTATCCTTCCAAGGTGCCAGGCATTAGTCTTTTTTTTTTTGTCTTTTTTTTTTGAGACGGAGTTTTGCTCTTGTTACCCAGGCGGAGTGCAATGGCACAATCTCGGCTCACTGCAACCTCTGCCTCCTGGGTTCAGGCAATTCTCCTGCCTCAGCCTCCTGAGTAGCTGGGATTACAGGCACGCGCCACCATGCCCAGCCAATTTTTTGTATCTTTTTTAGTAGAGATGGGGTTTCACCAGGTTGACCAAGGTGGTCTCGATCTTTTGACCTTGTGATCCACCCACCTCGGCCAGGCATTAGTCTTAAATCTGTACAAGTATTCATTTATTCCTCACAACAACCCGATGTGATAGCGGGACTAGCTTCATGTGTGTACGATCAGTTCAGGCTTTGATCACTGTGGTCAAAAGGGCCAGGTACTCAGAAGTGTCCCATGCTTGAAATTCTTAATAATTTTATTTTTGAATTTGTGGCTTTTGAGTGAAGTCAGTCCAATGGGACAGGTTCTCACAGCTGACCCACTTGAGCTGCCCTGGGGCTTCTCCCTACCCTCCCTGATCCTACTCTTGCCCAGGCATCACTGGGGTTGCACCTTCTGAATCTAAGGGCAGGGTGGTGGGTACCACAGCACATTAGGCAGGCAGGTGGACAGGGGCCTCTCACTCGTCGCATCCCTGCAGGGAAGTTGCAATCCATTAGGGCTGTGGTAAGGGGATACTGACTTCTGCACTTTACTCCGGGCCTGGAATTTTGCACTGGGCCTTGCAAATTATGTAGATGGCACTGAATGATGAGTACCAATATTATCCCTGTTTTATAAAGAGGTAAACTAAAGAGAAGTAACTTCACCAAGTGTAAAATGTCAATGTATATATACCATATGGATTTAAAAAATTAATTTAAGGTAAGTATTAATAACTGCCACTCAATCTAGCAAAAACTGTGACCATGGCTTACAAAGGCATGAAATTCAGGGAACTGCTGAGTAGAGCAGTGTGGCTGGTCCCAGAGGTCACCAGGATTTGAAGCCATCAGGTAGGACATGAGCAGAGACAGGGAACGAAGAAGGGCCAAGGACAGCACACTCTGCAGCAGCCCAAGAAAAGCAGTTTGGGAGAAAGACAGTGACACCACTTCAACCAGGGCCAGGCCCAAGACTGACTCATGATCTCTTCCCCGCTGATCTGCCTACACAGCAATGAAAACAGGCAGGACTTTCAGAAGGAGCAGTTTAGGAGCAGATATTGAATGTGAACAGCACTCTTGCTGCATAACATTTTTGTCAGTGGTAGAGGCTAAAGGAAATGCTGTGGAATGTTTTGAATACTTGTTTTAAAATGTCCCATGTGGGGTCTGGCATGTGATTGCATTGTCCAAGTTATCCTATTTGGTTTGGGGATTCTTTTTTAAGGTAATAAACGAACATGAATTTTTTTTTTTTTTTGAGTCGGAGCCTCACTCTGTTGCCCAGGCTGGAGTGCAGTGGTGTAATCTTGGCTCGCTGCAACCTTTGCCTCCAGAGTAGCTGGGACTACAGGCACCTGCCACCACGGCCAGCTAGTTGTTGTGGTTTTGTTTTGTTTGTTTGTTTGTTTGTATTTTTAGTAGAGATGGGGTTTTACTTTTACTGTGTTAGTGAGGATGGTCTCGATCTCCTGACCCTGTGATCCACCCGCCTTGGCCTCCCAAAGCGCTAGGATTACTGGAGTGAGCCACTGTGCCTAGCTAATGAACATGAATTTTAATAATCAAACCACACAAAAGAATATTCAGTTGAGCGCAGTGACTCAAGGCTGTAATCCCAGCACTTTGGGAGGCCGAGGCAGGTCGATCACTTGAGGTCAGGCATTCAAGACCAGCCTGGCCAACGTGGTGAAACCCCAACTCTACTAAAAATACAAAAATTAGCTGGGCATGGTGGTGCACTTTTGTAATCCTAGCTATTCAGGAGGCTGAGGCAGGAGAATTGAAACTGGGAGGTGGAAGTTGCAGTGAGCGGAAATCGCACCACTGCACTCCAGCCTAGGTGACAAGAACAAAACTCTCTCAAAACAAAACTGACAAATACTGAGTCTTCCTTCCCAGAAAATTTCCCCAGTACTATTGTATCTTTGGGTGTTTCTGCACATAGTACATGTGCTTTCCTTTCTCAACACTGGCTATTTTTACACAAGCAATTAGGATGTACACACAAGGAATAAATCTTGCTTTTTAGAGTAATGCTTCCCAAAGGATGAGTAACAAAAATGCATGTTATAAGAATTAACATGCTGGCAGGGTGCAGGTGGCTCACACCTGTAATTCCAGTACTTTGAGAGGCCAAGGAGGGAAGATTGCTTGAGCTCAGGAATCTGAGACGGGCCTGGCAATTTATTTGGCAATTCAGTAAGTGTAGAACTTCGTGATATTCTGTGTGTCATGTTAAACTATTATTAATGAAGCTTAGAGATGTGAATAGTTTGGCCAAGGTCACAAAGCCAGTAAAATTGAGAGATGGAACCACTAAAAGATTGCTCCAGGTTTAATTTTCTATGACTCTAACTTAAGTACTAACAGGACCAGGTAACCCATGGTAGGGAATGCACAAGATAGCAAAACACTGCAGGCAGCTCTCCCAGAGATAGCGTCATCCAGCACTGATTGCCAGGAACACTAGTCTTAACATTTTTTGCTATATAACCCCCTAATAAAACTCCAACTCTTTTTTTTTTTTTTTTTGACCCGGCATTTCGTTCTTGTCGCCCAGGCTGGAGTGCAAAGGTACAATCTTGGCTCACTGCAACCTCCACCTTCAAAGTGCAAGCAATTCTTCTGCCTCAGCCTTCCAAGTAGCTGGGATTACAAGCATGCGCCACCACACCCAGCTAAATTTTTGTTTTTAGTAGAGATGGGTTTTCACCATGTTGGTCAGGCTGGTTTTGAATTCTTGACCTCAAGTGATCTGCCTGCCTCAGCCTCCCAAAATGCTGAGATTACAGGCACGAGACACTGAGACCAACCGAAAACTCCAACTTTTAAAGTTAACATAAAATTCTTCATTTTTTGTTTTTTTTTTTGAGACACAGTCTTGTTCTGTCGCCAGGCGTCAGGCTGGAGTGCAGTGGTGGGATCTCGGCTCACTGCAACCTCCGTCCCCTGGGTTCAAGCAGTTCTCCTGCCTTAGCCTCCTGTGTAGGTGGGACTATAGGCGCGCACCACCACGCCCAGCTAACTTTTGTATTTTTAGTAGAGATGGGGTTTCACCATGTTGGCCAAGCTGGTCTCAAACTCCTGACCTCAGGTAATCCTCCCACCTCGGCCTCCCAAAGTGCTGGTGTTACAGGCGTTAAGCCACCGCACCCAGCCTCTTCATCATATTTTAAAGTTGCTTAGAATTCATTTTCTGGTTTAATATATTGACTTTTTAAAATAAAACTCTTACATTGTTTTTTGAAATGTATCAAATGGTATGTAAATACCTTAATGAATTGGTATTTACCATCTATCTTTAAAATAGCAAGTTATTTAATATTTGAAAATTTTACATTTTCCTTTTTATTCATTGAACTTTCCATCCCAATTCTGCCATAGAATTAATGTAATAGATTTGTATGTTTTTAAAAGTGTTATTGCTCATCCTATTATGTCTCATCAAGAAGTATGTAAATAAAGTTTAATAAATTTTTCTTGTGACTAAAGCTCGAATGTATAAAAAATTTTTCTTCTAGAGTGAATACCATTAAGTTTATTGGTAATGCTATGTTGATAACAGTACATAAATATAATTTTATAAAGAATTACACATACATTTTCCTTGAATTGCATTTTTCTTTTTTTGAGACAGGATCTTACTCTGTTGCTCACGCTTGAGTGCAGTGGTTCAGTCTCGGCTAACTACAACCTCCGCCTCCCAGGTTCAAGCAATTATCCTGTTTCAGCCTCCCAAATAGCTGGAACTACAGGTGCCCATCACCACACCCCGCTACCTGTTACATTTTTTGTAGAGATGGGGTTTCACCATGTTGGCCAGGCTGGTCTTGAACTCCTGACCTCAGGTGATCTGCCCACCTCGGTCTCCCAAAGTGTTGGGATTATAGGCGAGAGCCACCACACTCAGCCAATGAATTGCATCTCTTAACGACATGAATGGTGTTGCTTTTTATAATTAGCATGTATCTGTAGATGAATATATATGATTTACTGCTAAAGTGTGATAGAATTCAGCATCAATTTTAGTCCCTTTTTTTTTCTTGTTTTAGCAATATTGGGCATCTTTGAACTCTTTCCAAATTATATGCCCCAAATCACACTGATCTATTGCCAAAAATTATTTTTTGTTCCCTTATTTTCATTTAAAGCAAATAATTGAAAATTACCTGACCTGCAACCTAATCATATTAAGGACATTTTTCAACTTTTTGGAGTTACAAAAAAAAAAAGTTTTATTAAGACTTATCAAGTGGTAATTTCACTTCTTATTCTTTCACTTAGGCACTTTGTTTAACCCAGAATACTCAAAATGGTTGGAGACATCTAAATATTGCTTATTTCATTCACCTTTGCCAATGCAATACTTTTTGACAAAAATACTTTTAGTTTAATCATGTATTTCAGATCCATTTTCATCAAAAACTTAGCTGCAGTTTAGGCTCATTTAAGTTATGGAAAATGGCCATCAAGCTAAGGGCACATCTTAGGATTATGAATAGTGACTGGCTGAACATAATTACATGTATTTGTTGGGGGAAAAAATTTAACTTTCTAAATTCAGTATACCCAAATAGAGGGTTAGAGACCACCCCTATTCCCCCAAGACCAAGCTTAACTAAATACTATAAAGCAGTAAAAGATTGGTCTTAACGTTTTTGGTTATTAATCATCAAGAGCAATTCCACCTCCATTTGGTGTGTGAGACCTACTGCACCCCAGGTCACTGCATCAAGAGGAAGACAGGTTAGGGAGTGAATTGCCCTTCTGTAGAGGGAGGAGAGAGTGCCTGTGAAACTTGGGAATCTGGAAATTGAGTTCCTTAAAACATCTGGGCATGCCTAGCTTTGGCAAGACTACTGTATATGTATTCCAATTTCAAGACCACTAGATTATGGAACTTGGCTTGCTGTCTTTTTTAAGGATAAATCTTTATTGATTTTTCGATTATTGCTCTCTTCAGGGTTTCTCCCTTCTCTTAAGTTTTACAAGTTATATTTCCTTTGCTAATCATTAAAGTTTTAGAATTTATAGATGTAATACAGAGGCTTCTCTCGAAATTTAAAAATAATTTGAGAGGCTGAGGCAGGCGGATCACCTAAGGTTGGGGGTTTATAACCAGCCTGACCTATATAAGGAAACCCCGTCCCTACTAAAAATACAAAATTAGCCGGGCATGGTGGTGCATGCCTGTAATCCCAGCTACTCCTTAGGCTAAGGCAGGAGAATCGCTTGAACCCGGGAGGTGGAGGTTGCGGTAAGCCGAGATCGCACCATTGCACTTCAGCCTGGGCAACAAGAGCAAAAGAACTCCGTCTCAAAAAAAATTTAAAAATAAGTAAATAATTATACCACTCCCAACCAAATGCTTTGCTTAACCCACTTTTAACCCTCTCCACAACCAAGATAAAATGCTTAGGCTGTTTCTTCTTTCCCAGCAGCTCTACCCCTACCTTCTTGGGTTTTGCTGAGATAATTTTCAAGTTTTAGTCCCCCGGTATCTCAATAATACTTATTTAAGACTTTTACTACAAGTTCACAGCCATAATATTATCGTTCTTTTAGATTTAACTGTAGTTAAGTATAAAAAATTAGTATGTATAAATATGCTCTTTAATTGTTCATATTAATAAATATTCGTGAAATAAAACAGGCAAACAAAGGGTTAATATCCAAAATATACAGGCCAGTAAGACAAAGGCAAGCAAATCAACACGAAAGTCAATTGAGCAAGCAATTCACAGAATACTAGGAGACAATAAATAGAAGTTGGTTAACCTCAGTAGTAGTTGAGCTGCAAACCAAAAACATTATGATTCTCCAGCCCCCAATCCAATTGGCAAATAATTCTAAAACAACGTAGGTGCACGCCTGTCCCTGGGAGGGCCACGCTTTGCACTTTGAGATCTAAATTTTTAGTTTCTCAGATGCCAGCTTACTGGGTTTGAAAGAACATTTGGCAAGCACGTATACATATCCGATAATAATTGCAGACAGTCTTTATTACACTCTCAAAACAATGCGACAAGATAATGGGAATTGAAATGGAACTGTCTCTGAATTCATTTGACCCCCCCCAACGGCTTTACTTACCAAAAAAAAAAAAAAATGTGCGTTAAACCTAAAATTGTACACTAGTAGTGGACGAAAGATCGGCGACAACAATTTGAGTGAGCCTGGAACTGAGGGGAAAATGCTTCCCTGCAGGTACTGGGCAAGAGAGGATGCTCTAGAAGCTTCTAGGCGGGGTGTGCACCTGCCCCAGTGCTGGACAGAGGATGCAAAATGGCGCCCACTAGCTCCGTAGGAGTGGCCTTGAGCTGGACTGGCCGAATAGGAATGTTTGGAGGCGGGATGCTTTCCCCAGCACGCCCTCTAAGAGCTTGGGGCAGGGCTTCCTGTAGTTAGCACCCTTCCATTGGTCAAAAATGGACTGGGGTTGGGAGAAGCCAATCGTTGACAGTCTTGCTAAAGCCGTCACCGTAGCAACGCGCGGAGCCGCTTGGGAGAGGCCTCTGGAGCAGAAGGCCGAGTGGCTCAAGGCCCCGCTGTCCAGGTGAGGGGCTGTGGTTTTTTGGGATCCGGGACTAGTTACTGCCAATGCCGGCTATCTGCCCGCCAGGACGTCCGTGCCGTGAGCAGATCGCCTGGCCTCCTGCCTGACCCGTCTTCTCACCATTGCCGGGAGTCTGACCTCCTCACAGGCTACTAACGAAGCTGTCCCTGCCCCTGCCCCTGCCCCACAGGTTCTAGGTGCCAGATGATGGAGGAGCGTGCTAACCTGATGCACATGATGAAACTCAGTATCAAGGTCTTGCTCCAGTCGGCTCTGAGCCTGGGCCGCAGCCTGGATGCGGACCATGCCCCCTTGCAGCAGTTCTTTATAGTGATGGAGCACTGCCTGAAACATGGTCTGAAAGGTGAGCCTGAGGGGCGTTTGGGAACGTGGAAATTCGGGCTAGATATTTGCTCAGCATTTATTAATGCCAGACATCATTCTAGGTGCTGGAATGCCAGCAGTGTACAGAACAGACAAGGTTCCTGTCCTCAGAAGGGACATTCTACCATGCCAGCTATATAGGCAATTTTAAATTTTCTAATAGCTAGGTTTCTTTAAAAATGTTAGATGAGATACCTTTCTGTGGGGATAAAAGAAAAATTTAAAGAAAAAAACGGTTAAAAACCTAATTTGTTGAAATATTTTGAAATTAATTTTAATAATATATTTTATGGAACCCAGTATATCCAAAATATCGTTCAACACATAATCAGTATTTAAAAGCCTTATTAGGCCAGATGCGGTGACTCACGCCTGTAATCCCAGCACTTTGGGAGGCCAAAGAGGGCAGAGACCACCTTGGCCAACGTGGTGAAACCCTGTCTCTACTAACAACACACAAATTGGCCAGATGTGGTGATGTACTCCTATAATCCCAGGTACATGGGAGGCTGACGCGGGAGAATCGCTTGAACCTAGAAAGCAGAGGTTGGTGTGGGGCTAGATGAGATTGACCCACTGCACTCCAGCCTGGGCAAAGAGAGAGAGACTCTGTCTCAAAAAATAAAAATTAATTAATTAAAAGCCTTGTTGATGAGAAATTTTACATTCTTTTTTATACTAAGGCTTAAAAATTCACTGTATGTCTTATACTTAAAACACATCTCAATTCAGTTCCTCTGTTGCACTAACCACATCTCAGGTGCTCAGTAGCACATGTGGCTTGTGACTGCCTTCGACAGTGATGCTCTAGAGGATGAGATGGAGAATAAAGGTAGAAACAAACATAATTACAAAATGCTACCCTTTCAAGGTAGCAAAATGGGTTAAATGATAGAAAACCAAAGAAGGAACCTTTCAAATAGGGTAAAAGAAGAAGGTCTTGGCTGGGCGCAGTAGCTCACACCTGTAATCCCAGCACTTTGGGAGGCTGAATTGGGTGGATCACCTGAGGTCAGGAGTTCGAGACCAGCCTGGCCAACATAGAGAAACCCTGTCTCTACTAAAAATACAAAATTAGCCAGGCATAGTGGCGCGCCTGCCTATAATCCCAGCTACTCAGGAGGCTGAGGCAAGAGAATTGCTTGAACCATCTCTTGAACCAGGAGGCGGAGGTTGCAGTGAGCTGAGATTATGCCATTGCACTCCAGCGTGGGCAACAAGAGCAAAACTCCAACTGAAAAAAAAAAGAGAGAGAGAAGAAGGTCTTTCTGGGAAGGTGAAATGTGAGCCCAGAGACTTAAAGGAGAAGAAAGAGCCAGCCATACAAGGATTTGGAGCAGGAGCATTCATAGCTTAAAAAAAGAAATAAATAAAACAGATGCAAAGGTCCTGAGTGAGACCAACCTTTCTCAGCTTGAGAAAGACTCCAGGTAACAGATGTGCTAAGTATACTGAGGGAGAGGAGGGGAGGACATGAGGTCAGGGGAGTAGGGAGAGGCTTGACCATATATTCCCTTAAAGGTCACGGTGAGGAGTTGCATTTTATTCTAAGTGTCTTTGGAAGATCCTAAACAAGGGAAAAACGTGTCCTAACTTAAGTTCTTAAAAGAACTTATAGCTATATAGAGAATAGATTGTAATGGTGGGCAGGTGACAATATTAGGAGCAGAAAGACCAATTTTTTTTTTTTTTTGAGATGCAGTCTCCCTCTGTCACCCAGGCTGGAGTCATTGATGTGATCTCGGCTCACAGCAACCTCTGCCTCCCAGGTTCAAGTGATGATTCTCCTGCCTCAGCCTCCCAAATAACTGGGACTACGGATGCCCGCCACTATACCCAGCTAATTTTTGCATTTTTAGTAGAGATGGTGTTTCACCATGCTGGCCAGGCTGGTTTCGAACTTCTGACCTCAAATGATCTGCCTGCTTCAGCCTCCCAAAGTGCTGGGATTATAGGCAAGAACCATCATGCCCAGCCAGGAAGACCGATTTCTGCAGTTCAGATGATTATGAGGGTTTGGGGGAAAAAAAATAATCAATCATTGATTTTGCCATCAAGAAAGAAAAAGGAGGATTCTATAGGTGATTATATGAGGCAGCTGTTTTATTCCATGGGCGATACATACTTGGAGAAAGCACAGTAGGTATATCAGGGAAACTCTGTTGCCAGAGAAAGGGAGACTTACTTACTTACTTCATTTATTTTTTTTGAGACAGAGTCTTGCTCTGTTGCCCAGGTTGGAGTGCAACAGCGTGATCTCAGCTCACTGCAACCTCCACCTCCCAGGTTCAAGCGATTCTCCTGCCTCAGCCTCCTGTAATCCCTCCTGGGATTACAGATGTGTGCCACCACGCCCAGCTAATTTTTTTCTTTTTTTAATTTTTATTAGAGACAGGGTTTCACCATGTTGATCAGGCTGGTCTCAAACTCCTGACCTCTTGATCCACCCACCTCGGCCTCCCAAAGTGCTGTGATTACAGGCTGAGCCTATGCGTCCAGCCAGAGAGACTAATTTATTACATGGCCTCTCCCAGTCCCCAAGACAAAATCAAGAAGGATTAAAGCAATGAAGTTTAGCAGCTTTCACTTGACTTTTTGGGGGGAGGCTGTGGGCCCCTGAGTAAATTTTGCAACCTGTTCTTATTAATAACACTTTTGTTTTTCTTTTTAGTTAAGAAGAGTTTTATTGGCCAAAATAAATCTTTCTTTGGTCCTTTGGAGCTGGTGGAGAAACTTTGTCCAGAAGCATCAGATATAGCAACTAGTGTCAGAAATCTGCCAGAATTAAAGTGAGTGAGAAATAGTTATGCCGATTTGATGATTTTTAAAACTTCCTCAATTTACTCATTTTTCAATTCCTTGCTGATAAAGCCCTTTCTAATTGGAAAGAGCTCTATTGCTCATTATCGACATGATCTCCAGTAAGATTTGACTCTCTCTGAGCCTCAGTTTTCTTTTCTTTAAAATGGGGACGGTGATTCCTGCTTGCCACACAGGCCAAATGACACCTTTGATTGTAAAGGTGTTGTCAACCAGAGGGCACTCACAGGAGGAAAAGGAGCTACTGGTACACCTGGAATCACTGCTTCAGATATATATGGGTAGTTTTCTGAATAATACATTTTGGGCCAGATTGTAGCATCCAGGCCAAGGGACATTTGTAATTTGTTAGGATAGGACTAGCAAGTTATTTGCCATGTCTGGATTTGCCCTTGGGGTAGCTATGCTTAGGCTCAAAGTCAAAAACAGGCCAGAACACAAATAAGTAATCTTCTTGGAATTTGACATCTAGAAAGGGTCTTAGGGATCCTTGAGCCAATGCAAAACAGCCCTCTGCAGAGTTTTCCAGAGGGACTTGGACTGTTCAGCCTTTATTTGACCCTTCTCCTAGGGAACCAGCCTATTCCATTTTCGGATAATAACAGCCACCACCCTAGGACCTGCTCTGTGACAGGCATTGTGCTGTGAACATTCCTTTTCATTATCTCATTTAATCCTCTGCAACTGTCCTCTAGGATAGCTGTTAGTATCCTCATCTGCAAGTGTGGGAACTGAGATGAAAAGTGGCTAAGTAACTTGACCATGGTGCCTCGATAGGTGAGTGATGGGGTAGGAAGAGGACACAGGTTGTAAACCCTGAAGCCTTCTAAATCCCATGAAACTCCATTGCTGCCAAGCCCTGTGCATGCTTCTAAAGATTGGATTTAAACCTTCTATGCCAGTTCTGCCTGCCCAGCCTGTGTTGCTTATATTTAAGGCCTTTTGCACCTGCCAACCTTTCAAATGTTTATTTGATGATGACCCCCCCTTTTTTTTTTTTTTTGAGACAGAGTCTGACTCTGTCGCCCAGGCTGGAGTGCAGTGGCACAATCTCAGCTCACTGCAACCTCCGCTTCCTAAGTTCAAATGATTCTCATGCCTTAGCCTCCTGAGTAGCTGGGATTACAGGTGCGTGCCACCACACCCAGCTAATTTTTGTATTATTTATAGAGTTGGGGTTTGGCCATGTTGGCCAGGCTAGTCTCAAACTCCTGACTGCAAGTGATCCACCTGCCTTGGCCTCCCACAGTGGTGGGATTACAGGCGTGAGCCACCACGCCAGCCTTAATGAGCTCTTTCATGAGCCTATTAAGTCTACTGCCTTGTTTCTTTAGTTGTTTTTTATATGGTACAATTTCTCATACTCTTTCTGCCCAGCTCACTCACTCCCTCAAGAGTAAAGCACCTACACAGACAAATAGTGTCCTGATGTTTTCTTTGTGCTTTGTTTATTTTGTTTTTGAGATGGAGTCTTGCTCTGTCACCCAGGCTGGAGTTTAGTGGTGGGATCTTGGCTCACTGCAACCTCCGCCCAGGCTGTAGGTTAGTGGTGGAATCTTGGCTCACTGCAACCTCCGCCTCCCAGATTCAAGCGATTTCTCCTGCCTCTACCTCCTGAGTAGCTGGGATTAAGGGGGCCCACCACCACACCCAGCTAATTTTTGTATTTTCAGTGGAGACGGGGTTTCACCATGTTGGCCAGGCTGTTTTCCAACTCCTGACCTCAGGTGATCCATCCACCTCAGTCTCCCAAAGTGCTGGCATGAGCTACTGCTCCTGGCTGGTTTTTTGTTTGTTTGTTTTAAGACAAGGTCTTTGTCACCCAAGCTGGAGTGCAATGGTACAGTCTCTCAGCTCACTGCAACCTCCACCTCCCAGGCTCAAGAAGTGATCCTTCCACAGCCTCCCCAGTAGTTGGGACTGTAGGCTGAGGCAGGAGAACTGCCTGAACCCAGGAGGTGGAGATTACAGTGAGCTAAGATCATGCCACTGTGCTCCAGCCTGGGCTACAGAGTGAGACTCCGTCTAAAAAAAAAAAAAAAAAATGCGCCTGCACCCAGTAGTTCTACTTACATGCATTTTATCCTACACCCTGTAACACATGAAAACGATATGTTCAGAATGGTCTGTTGCAGTCGTTATTTATAACAGCAGATTAGAACCACCCTAGATTTTTTTAACCCAGCTAAATATGGTGCTGTCCAATAAAGACACACTAAAGCTATTCTGTGTACTGATAATGGAAAGATTTTCAAGATGACGGATACTCGGTGAAATAAGTAGGTTGAGAACTGCATGTAAAACATGTTCAATTTTTTTGTAAAAAGAAAAATAATTTATAACATTTTTATGTGTAGAAACATGTCTTGGAAATGAATTTAGACAAAAAACACTATATTAATATATAGGGAAGGGGGATGGGAAGGTAGAGGACAAGGAGACAAGTACATATCTTTTAATACTGGGTTTTTTTTGAAACAGAGTCTCACTCTGTCACCCAGGCTGGAGCACAGTGGCATGGATCTTGGCCCACTGCAGTCTCTGTCTCCCAGGTTCAAGCAATTCTTGCCCCTCAGCTTCATGAGTAGCCGGGATTACAGGCATGAGTCACCATACCGAACTAATTTTTGTATTTCTAGTTGAGATGGGGTTTCACCATGTTGGTCAGGCTGGTGTCGAGCTCCTGGCCTCAGGTGATCCACTGTGCCCGGCCTACTTTCTAGGCTTTAAACCAAGTGAAGATATTACCCATTCAAAAATAATGCAGCATTAAAGTGCACATACTGTTTTTGTAGCCTTTTTTTCATGTATTCTACTTAGTAATAGATTTTAAATCTCTTTGTGTATCAAATATTTATCTACAGTATCATTTTTTAAATGGCCAAATCATGTTCTGTTATATATCTAATTTAGCCCTTGTAGCTGTCTTCAAATTCTCAGTACCATAAACCATGATAATGATCTGATAACCATCCCCAAACATACATCTTTGTGTCCATCTTCAGTTATTTCCCTAGGATATATTACTAGATGTAGAATTTTGGTAACCTCTTGTCATCAAATTGCCACTAGAAAATTACACAGTTGGCTGGGCCCAGTGGCTCACACCTATAATCCCAACACTTTGAGAGGCCAAGGCAGGAAGACTGCTTGAGCCCAAGAGTTTGAAACCAGCCTGGGCAACATGGCAAAACCCTATCTCTACAAAAAAAAAAAAAAATCAGCTGGGCATGATAGCGTGTGCCTACTGTCCCAGCTACACTGGAGGTTTAACACAGGATTATCTCTTGAGCCTGGGAGGTGGAGGCTGCAGTGAGCCATGATCATTCCATTGCACAACAGCATGGTGACTGAGCAAGACCCTATCTCAAAAAAAAAAAAAGTTGGAAAGTTTATAGTCTCACCAAGCAGCACTTGAGAGGCCTTTTTTCTTTTAACATTTATGCAGGCCTGTTCCTTTTTTCCTTTCTTTTCTTTTTCTCTCTTTTCTTTCCTCTTCTCTTCTACTTCTCTGGAGAGAATGCTGGAATGCAGAAATATTACGCCTTTAAGATTAGGGCCAGGTGCATTGGCTCACAGTTGTAATCCCAGCAGTTTGGGAGGCTGAGGTAGGCAGATCACTTGCGGTCATGAGTTAGATATGAACCTGGCCAACATGGTAAGCCCCCATCTCTACTAAAAATATAAAACTTAGCCGGGCATGGTGGCATGTGCCTGTAATCCCAGCTACTTGGGAGGCCAGAAGTCTGAGCAGGAGAATCACTTGAACCTGGGAGGCGGAGGATGCAGTGAGCTGAGATCACGCCAGTGAGTTATCTTGCCACTACACTCTATCTAGCTAGCCTGGGTGGCAGAGTGAGACTCCATCTCAAAAAAAAAAATAATAAAGATTGGTTGCACAACATTGTGAATGTACTTAATACTACTTAACTGTAAGACTAAAAATGATTAAGATGGTTAATTTTATGTTCTATGTATTTTACCCCAATTAATAATAAAACATAAAATTGTACCTTTGAGGCCAGGTGCAGTGGCTCATGCCTGTAATCCCAGTACTTTGGTATGCCAAGACGGGCCAGTCACTTGAGGCAAGGAGTTTGAAACCAGCCTGACCAACATGGCAAAACCCTGCCTCTACTGCATACACAAAAATCTGCCAGGTGCAGTGGCACATGCCTATAATCCCAGCTGCTTGGAGGCTGAGGCATGAGAATCACTTGAACCCAAGGGGCAGAGGTTGCAGTGAGCTGACATCACACCACTGCACTCCAGCCTGGGTGACAGAGCAAGACTCTATCTCAAAAAATGTTGTACCTTTGAGCTAACCCCTTAGAGATTTTATGAGCTTCAGCACTTTAACAATACTAAGTTCTCTATTAGTCTTTTGAAAGAATGTTTATCCATTGTACAAATCTGACCTGATATCTTCCTGTGATATTTTTTGAATATAAGCAAAGCAGATTGCCATTAGAAAATTGCACAGTTGGCTGGGCACAGTGGCTCCCACCTATAATCCCAACAGTTTGAGAGGCCAAGGCAGGAAGATTGCTTGAGCCCAAGAGTTTGAGCCCGGATATTGTATTATTACAAATATAGTATCTAATTGTATTTGTAGTAATACCCAAAGATGTGTGGCGAGCCATTTTCTCTGCCTGCCCAGGCCATGTGCATCCCTCCCCAACCCCAAATAGCTATTCTTAGAGTATCCTCTGCATTTACAAGGCTGTGTATCATATGTGTTTTCCTGGCTAAATCCGGTTTCTTTTCTGTGTTATCGTTATGCCACAATAGTTTGATTTTCTGTTTGAATTCTAGGACAGCTGTGGGAAGAGGCCGAGCTTGGCTGTATCTTGCACTCATGCAAAAGAAACTGGCAGATTATCTGAAAGTACTTATAGACAATAAACATCTCTTAAGGTATTTCATCAACTATATTTGCTTATCTTTTGCTTGCTAAATAATTAGAACATAGGCTAGGCACGGTGGCTCACGCCTATAATCCCAGCACTTTGGGAAGCCAAGATGGGTGGATTGCTTGAGGTTGGGAGTTCAAGACCAGCCTGACCAACATGGTGAAACCCCATCTCCACTAAAAATAACAAAAATTAGCCAGGCATGGTGGCAGGTACCTGTAATCCCAGCTACTCGGGAGGCTGAGGCAGGAGAATCACTTGAACCCAGAAGGCAGAGGTTGCAGTGAGCTGAGATCACACCAGTGCACTCTAGCCTGGACAACAGAGTGAGACTCCATCTAAAAATAATAATAGGCTAGGTACAGTGGTTTGCGCCTGTAATGCCAGCACTTTGGGAGGCTGAGGTGGGCAGATCATGAGGTCAGGAGTTTGAGACCAGCCTGGCCAACACGGTGAAACCCCATTTCTACTAAAAATACAAAAATTATCTGGGCACAGTGATGCATGCCTATAATCCCAGCTACTTGGGAGGCTGAAGTAGGAGAATCTCTTGAACCTGGGAGGTGGAGGTTGCAGTGAGCTGAGATTGCACCATTGCACTCCAGCCTGGGTGACAGAGTTAGACTCCGTCTCAAAAATAATAATAATTAGAACATAGTTCTGTAGGTCATTTTGAATTAAAATAAGTGTATAGGCCAGGCATGGTGGCTCATGCCTGTAATCCTAGCACTTTGGGAGGCCAAAGCTTGCCAATCACTTGAGGTCAGAAGTTCAAAAGCAGCCTGGCCAACATGGTGAATCCCCTGCTAAAAATAAAAAATCAGCCAGGCATGGTGGCATATGCCTGTAATCCCAGCTACTCAGGAGGCTGAGGCAGGAGAATCACTTGAACCTGGGAAGGAGAGGTTGCAGTGAGCCAAGATCACACCGCTGTAACTCTCCAGCCTGGGAAACAGAGTGAGACTCTGTCTCAAAATAAAAAATAAAATAAGTGTATAATGTTTACAGAAATTTACGACTGGTTCATTTTTTTATATTTGTAACTAAGCAAACATCATTATAAAAGGAATTTTCTCTAGACTATGGTAATTTACGAGGGAGGACTCTTTCCAGAGTTAAAGCTCTCTTTAATTGAGAAACAGATAAAAATAGGTAATTGAGAAATAGATCTTTTACAGCATAGCCTAAAACCCAAGTTTCTCAGTGTTTTCAAGTCATAGCTCATTATCAAACATATCTTTACACCGCAAATAATAATTTACAATATTTCACATACTCTTGAGTACAGTTACACTGAGTAACTTTGAGTTATAGATTTTGTTGTAATGAACTCTTTTTCAATTAATTTTTTATTTATAATTGACACAAAATTGTACATATTTATGAGGTACCATGTGTATGTATATACTATATAATGAGCATATCAGGGTAATTACTGTATCTCTCACTTTACTAATAAACTAATTCTTTTTCTTTTCTTTTTTTGAGATGGAGTTTTGCTTTTGTTGCCCAGGCTGGAGTGCAATGGCATGATCTTGGCTCACTGCAGCCTCCACCTCCCAGGTTCAAGCGATTCTCCTGCCTCAGCCTCCCGAGTAGCTGGGATTACAGGTGTGCACCACCACACCCGGCTAATTTTGTATTTTTAGTAGAGACAGGGTTTCTCCATGTTGGTCAGGCTGTTCTCGAGCTCCCGACCTCAGGTGATCCGAATGCCTTGACCTCCCACAGTGCTGGGATTACAGGCATGAGTCACCATGCCGGGTAGCCTTTTTTTTTTTTTTTTTTTTTTTAAGATGGAGTTTCACGGCTGGGCGCGGTGGCTCATGCCTATAATCCCAGCACTTTGGGAGGCCAAGGCTGGTGGATCACGAGGTCAAGAGCTCGAGACCATCCTGGTCAACAAGGTGAAACCCCATCTCTACTAAAAATAAAAAAATTAGCTGGGCATGGTGGTGTACACCTGTAGTCCCAGCTACTCGGGAGGCTGAGGCAGGAGAATTGCTTGAACCCAGAAGGCGGAAGTTGCGCTGAGCCGAGATCGTGCCATTGCACTCCAGTCTGGGTAACAACAGCAAAACTCCAGCTCAAAAAAAAAAAAAAAAAAAAAAAAAAAAGATGGAGTTTTGCTCTTGTTACCCAGCCTGGAGTGCAGTGGAACGATCTCAGCTCACTATAACCTCCACCTCCTGGGTTTAAGCAATTCTCCTATCTCAGCCTCCTAAGTAGCTCTGATTACAGGTGCATGCCACCACACCTGGCTGATTTTTGTGTTTTTAGTAGAGACAGGGTTTCATCATATTGGTCAGGCTGGTCTCAAACTCTTGACCTCAGGTGATCTGCCCACGTCAGCCTCCCAAAGTATTAGGATTACAGGCGTGAGCCATCATACTCACCCACTAATGAGGTAATTCTTAAGATAAAAGTTCTTGTACACACACACACACACACACACACACCCAGAGTAGCCTGGATGCCACTGGATTTGGTATATTAGCAAATCATTGCTGACCAGAGCAGTAACAGACAGGGTATGGACCCCCACTGCAAATGGCCGAGATAACTGGGCAATAAGGAAGTAAAAGCAGCAGATGTTGCTAGTGGGATGTAAGAAGGAGTTTTATGCTTGGATGTGGGATCCCATTTCCTGTTTATATGAGCGTAAGTGGAGAAGTAGTTCATATCAACACAGAAGAGGAGCCATTGGAGACACAGGAAGGGAGAGTGACAGTCAGGAGTACAGTGGCCAAGAGGAGATGAGAACAACTGGTGTCCAGGGTCCGCATGGAGGAGTTAACCTTAGACGGGGAGGGGAGAGCCCATTCTAAGCCACGGAAGAAGAGAGGACAGAGAAGAAAAAGTGGCCCTTGAAGCAGTGAACAGAAATGAAAGGGAGGGAGGAAACCCACAGTAGTATCTACTGTCTCCAGGATACGGTTGAAAAGGCAGTGCAGGGTGGGGAAGGAATGGTGATGGCAAAGCTGTTTGTGAGCGGTGCTCTGGCCTGTCCATCTCTTTTAGTGAGTTCTATGAGCCTGAGGCTTTAATGATGGAGGAAGAAGGGATGGTGATTGTCGGTCTGCTGGTGGGACTCAATGTTCTCGATGCCAATCTCTGCCTAAAAGGAGAAGACTTGGATTCTCAGGTAAAGTGAAATTTTGGCTCTAAGTGAAACACCTTCATTAGTCCAGGGACTTTACAGAGGATCTGCAGACAGGTATTAAACCTAAAGAAGGGCCAATGGCAAAGAGCCCTCTGGTAAAGGACCGGCCAGGGGCAGGTGGGGAAGCAGCTGGGGAAGGTCTTGGAAGGGTGAAGAAGTTGCATAGCCAGAAGTACACCTGGAAAGTTTGGCAGGTTTGGGAATAGGTAGACAGCTCTCCATGGCTGGAGCAGAGGATGCTCCGTGGGTGAGGTGAAAGTGGAAGCTAGGCCCGGTTTTTAGGCCATCAGTGCCATGCTGAAAGGTGTAGCTTTTATCCCCTGAGCTTTGGGAAGCTGTCGGAAGCTTTTTTTGTTTTGTTTTGTTTTTTGGTTTTTGTTTTTTTTGATAGAGACAGGGTTTCTCCATGTTGGTCAGTCTGGTCTCCAACTCCTGACCACACATGATCTGCCTGCCTCAGCCTCCCAAAGTGCTGGGATTATAGGCGAGAGCCACCACATCCGGCCACTGTTGGAAGTTTTTAAGAAGTACACAGAAATGATCATGCCTGGATTTGAGAAAGCTCAATCTAGCAGCCATTCAGGTCATGAGTTAGAAGTGGCCAAGAGTAGATACAGCAAAAGCTTTGAGGAAACTAGTCTAGAAGTCTCGCAAGGTTGGATGGGGAGTAGGAAGATAGAGTCGGCCAGGTGCTGTGGCTCAGGCCTGTAATCCCAGCACTTTGGGAGGCCCAGGCGGGTGGATCGCGAGGTCAAGAGATCGAGACCATCCTGGTCAACATGGTGAAACCCGGTCTCTATTAAAAATACAAAAAATTAGCTGGGCATGGTGGCGCGTGCCTGTAATCCCAGCTACTCAGGAGGCTGAGGCAGGAGAATTGCCTCAACCCAGGAGACGGAGGTTGTGGTGAGCCGAGATTGCGCCATTGCACTCCAGCCTGGGTAACAAGAGCGAAACTTCGTCTTAAAAACAAACAAACAAACAAAAAAACCAAGATATGTAAACCATTTCAAATGGCTATGTAATATTTCATTTTTTAATGTACCTATTATATAACTAGTACCTTATTAATTACCTAATTAATTTAGATTGTTTCCATATTGTGACAATATTATTGCTGAGCACATGGCTGACGCCTATAATCCCAACACTTTGGGAGGCCAAGGCAGGAGGATCACTGGAGCCCAGGAATTTGAGACCACCCTGGACAACATAGTGAGACCTTGTGTCTACTAAAAATAAAAAAAATTAGCCAGGCATGGTGGCATGCTGCCTGTCATCCCCACTACTCTGGAGCCTGAGGCGGGAGGATTGCTTGAGCCTAGGAGATCAAGGCTGCAGTGAGCTATAATCATGCCACTGCACTCCAATTTGGGCAATAGAGCCAGATTCTGGCTGGAAAAAAAAAAAAGCAAACCCAATATTATAAACATCCTTAAAGTTTTTTGTACTCTTGTCCATTTATTTCCTTAGGATAAATTTGGGGTTGTTGTGTCAAAGTATATAGCCTACATTTTGCTAGATAAGGTAAAACAGACCTCCAGAAAGGTATTCATTTTAGACACCCACCAGCAGTGTGGGAGAGAACCCATTTCCTCCTGACACTAGATGTGATGAGCATTCTAGGTCTTTTTCAGTCTCATTGACAAAACAACTCATTGTCTCAAATTTACAAGTATTTTCATGTTTTATTTATCATTGGTGGTTCATATCCTTTGTCCATTTTTTTGAGTTTTCTTTCTGTACTTCTTTAAAGACTAAGCATGTTGACCCTTTTTCAGAATTATTTGTTAGGAATTTTTTTTTTTTCTGGTTTCTCAGGGGTGGTTTGCTCTGTAAAATTTTTTATTTTTTGGCGACCAAGTTTAGCAAATGTTCCTTTATACCTTCTAAAGTATTGTGCTTTGAAGATCCTTCTCTATCTAAAAATTACCCTAACTTATAACATCAAATGTGGGGTGCCAGAATGCGGGTCCACGCATCTGGTTGTCCATGTGTCCAGCCTTTACCCATGCCGCTTTCAGTCATGGACTCTGGTCAGGCACAGCTCAGAAAGCCAGCCCCTGACTTCAAGGCCACTGCCCTGGTGGATGGCCTTAGGCAGGGCAAAGCTGTCAACTACAAAGGGAAATACTTCATCCTCTTTTTTTACCCTCTGGACTTCACTTTTCTGTGGCCCACAGAGATCATAGTGTTCAGCGACCATGCCGAGGATTTCCATAAGCTGGGTTATGAAGTGCTGGGCATCTCGATGGACTCAGTTCACCCACCTGACTTGGATCATCTACAACCCCCGGAAGGAGGGAGGCTTAGGCCCCCTGAGCATCCCCTGCCTATTGACATGACAGGAAGCTTGTCCGAGGATTATGGCGTGCTGAAAACAGATGAGGGCATTGCCTAACAGGGCCTCTTTATCATCGATGGCAGAGGTGACCTTTGCCAGATCACTGTTAATGATTTGCCTGTGGTGTGCTCTGTGGATGAGGCTCTGTGACTGGTCCAGGCCTTCCAGTACACAGACAAGCACGGGGAAGTTTGTCCCACTGGCTAGAAGCCTGGCAGCTACGATTAAGCCCAGTGTGGATGACAAGGAATACCTCTCCAAACACAACTAGGCTGGCCGATGGATAGTGAGCTTGTGCCCCTACCTGGGTACCCTGTGCTGACCCAGGAAAGGCCAGACCTGCCCCTTCGATCTCCACAGTCTGGGACCCTGGAGGGCTAGGCCAAAGCCTTTTCCTGCTTCCACCTGGATAGTTTTTTACACACTTAATATGTAAAATGTGTAAATTTTACACATTTTTGTCATTTGTTTTGGCATAGTGTGAAGTAGGAATCTAAATTTATTAATAGTTAACCAATTTTCTCAGTGTCATTTATGTATTATACTTTTTTCTACTAATTTGAAAGTCCACTTTTATAATATGTGAAATATCCATGATATGCATTGGGTTATTTCTGAACTCTTCTGTTAGATCCCTGAATCTCTGTTCCTATGCCAGTGGCTCATTCTTTTAATGACTGGAGCCATATAGTATATTCTAGACTCTGGTAGTTAAGCACCTGCCTACTCTACTGTTCTTCTGTTTCAAACATTTCTGGGCCATCCATTCTGCCAGATGAACTTGAACATCATTTGTCAAATTCCAGAATAAAAACTCCATTGAGAGTTTAATTAGATAATAGATGTGAGTGAGCATTCTGGTCTAGTGCTGTTTTGAATGGCAGTGCCTGTAGTGTGTCATCATAAAGCATATGTGTTTGCTGCTGCTTTCTGAGGGATGCTGTTTCTTATGTTTAGAGAGTGCTGTTCCACTCCAGTTTACTTTGTGTTTCTATTAGAAATGAATGTTGAATGTTGTCAAATACTTTTTATTGGATCTATCAACATGTCATAGCTGTTTTTAACCCATAAATATAATTGAATTAATGCATAGGTTTCTTAGTGAATATTAGCCCTGAATTTCTAAAATAATCCCTACTTGATCATTGTAAACCCTTGGATTTCATGTTTACTATTTGTTTGGAATTTTTGTGTTGCTGCTTTTAAGTGAAACTGTCTGGAATTTTCTATACTACCTTTGCCATCTTTTGGTGTCAGAATTATGTTAGCTTCATAAAATAAACTGGAAGGCCAGGCACAGTGGCTCACACCTATAATCCCAGAACTTTGGGAGCCCAAGGCAGGTGGATCACCTGAGGTCAGGAGTTTGAGATCAGCCTGGCCAACATGCTGAAAGCCTGTCTCTACTAAAAATATAAAAATAAGCCAGGTGTGGTGGCGTGCACCTGTAATTCCAGCTATCAGGAGGCTGAGGCAGGAGAATCGCTGGAACCTGGGAAACAGAGGCTGCAGTGAACCAAGATCACGCCACTGCACTCCAGCCTGGGCAACAGAGCAAGACTCTGTCGCAAAAAAAATAAATAAATATTAAAAAATAAACATATAAAATAAAATCAACTGGAAAATAGCCTTCCTTTTCCTGTTTTCTACAAGTTTATTCTACAAGATCAGGAATTATTTTTTCTTTGCAGGCTTGCCAGATCTTACTGGTATGACCACTTCACCCTTATTCCTTTTTTCGGTGTTTGTTCTTTGACTACCTTAACTTTTTGCATGGTTTTGATCAACTTACTGGTTTTCTAAGTCTTGGGACAATTTTTAAAGTCATTTACAATTTTTTTTTTTTTTTGAGACGGAGTCTCACACTATCTCTGAGCTCGAGTGCAATGACACAATCTCAGCTCACTGCAATCTCCGCCTCCCAGGTTCATGCGATTCTCCTGCCTCATCCTCTCTAGTAGCTGGGATTACAGATGCATACCACCACACTTGGCTAATTTTTTGTATTTTTAGTAGAAATGTGGTTTCACTATGTTGGCCAGACTGGTCTCAAATTCCTGACCTCGTGATCTACCTACCTCAGCCTCCTGAAGCGCTGGGATTACAGGCATGAGCCACCACGCCTGGTCCATTTATAATTTTTTTAGATATCATTTCATTCATATTTATTATGCTAGAGTTGTATGAAAGCATTCTCTTACAGCTTTAGAAAAATTTCACTGTTCTCATTTATAATGTGTATTTGCTAAATATTGATCACATTAGTAGAAATTTGTCTGCTTTGTTGAACTTTGACAAACGAGTGCTCTTATTTATCACTTCTGCTTTGGTAGTAGGGCTTTATTTGCTTTCTAATCCATTACTTTTTGCTTTGGGTATTAATTCTTTCTTATCTTTCTATTGTTGGGTTTTTTGGCTGAATTTTTTTAGATTTGGTTTTTTATTGTAAAAGAAATTCTTGCTTTTTTTTTTTTTTAGAATTTCTTTGAAGAGTCTTTCTCCTTATAAAAATCTTGAGTGTAGTATTTTAGGCCTGATCATAGGCAAATTACAAAGAAAACAACTGGTAGGCCTCATGGGGGAAACTTCCCTGCCCATATCAGACTTGGGGACTACCACTGTGTTGCCGCAAGAACTC